GCAAAGTAACCAGGGCAATGCTAAGTTCCATGTAAGCCTCCAAAAAAAGTGTCATCCCTGCAGAACTCAATATTGTCTCCCATGTGAGTTTCACCGTATACAATCTTAACTTAACTTGACAATGACTGTCAGTGACAGGAAAAATATGACTTTCAGCATGTAATGGAGTCATTTAGTTCTAAGGCATTACAAAAACATAAACTTAACGTGCTGCCGTCCCTAGAGTAATGAGTAAATCTTCAGTCATGTCATCAATAACAAATTGCCCATCAAAAGCCTCCCCATTACCTCCCGGGATGCCGTGTACTGTATTAGTTTTGGGCCTCACTCTCTCCTCCCACCAAATAACAGAGCCAATTTCACAGATGTTCAATAAGCTCAATTTTCAGAAATATTAGGAGCAGTGGGAGATCTAATCAACTTTTTATTGATTTCAAGGGCATAATGAATCTATTGGTGTTTCTATCAGTGTCGGACTAACATTGTCTTTTCCTCTGACAAGCCAGTTTTTCCCTCGTTAAAGTAATACTTCACCCACAAAATGAATATTTGTATAACAATTACTCAGTGCGCACTACGTTGAATTTGTGAAGAAAACTTTGATTTTCTTTCATACCTTCATGATAAACGGAGAATCCAAAAAGGTGAACATTCTTCATGAATTAAAGTAAATGGGATCCGTGTTTAAAAACAGCAAAACTATATCAGACGTTAGCTATGTATTTGACTTGAGAAGTATTAGGGGTCTAAATCACTGGTTTCATCACAATACAATATATCACATTGATTCGTCGGCCAACAATGGGATATTTGCCAATATTACAAAGTTTGCCACGATGCGATTTCAACACGATGCAGTTCGGGGCCTGCGATCGATATGAGATGTTATTATGTGCCCATGAAACACAGTTGATTACAGAAAAAGCTGCCATCCGTTTCTTTTTGCTTTTGGCCATAGTAGATATAAACAACACATAAATGATGTAAATAACTGTAGCCGCTTAAGTGCAGTGAAGTTTACTTTAAACTGACTCCACTAACACACATTGCGCAGCACATGGAATAAGTTAACCTTTAGGGCTTTCTCCCAGAGAGACCTCTTTTCATTTTGACCCAAACCATCATCTTTTTCATAAAATTTCAGGACTATTTGGCTTGAAACTCAAGTTTTATATTGTAATGTTTTAGCAAAAATGCATGCGTTTGGGAAGTACTGAGTATATGGGTAGATAAATGAGGCTTGGATTATACTGCACGATATGTGTGAGAGTTTGTAAATGGATGTTTCAACAAAGCTTTGCTATTGTTAAACACGGACCCCATTTACTTTAATTTATGAAATTTTTGGATTCTCTGTTAACTGTGGAGTCATGTGAGATAGGCAGAGTTTTCCTCTTGAATTCAACCTAACAGGGTGAGTAACTGATATACAAATGGTCATTTTGCAGCTGAAGTGTTCCTTTAAAGCTCTAAGATCGTCCATGGTTTCACGCTAGTCCTCCAGTATTGTCTATATTTGGAGACATCTGTCACAAAGGCTCGTGGTTGAAATATAGATGAAGATAGATGTTCTCAGTTTTGCTTTGGGGAGAGGCAGGAAGTGCCTTCACCGAGTAGTCACCCAAAGCACGAGGAAGGGCCCGCGGTCGAATGGAGCAGGGAACACGTGAGCGGATATCAGTAATGAATGCTACAGTGGTCACTCCCATGCCAAGCATCGTTTGGCACTGGCACTGCCCTTCCTCTGGCCTTTCTCTCCAGGCCCTGGTGTAAACTTTACCAGAAGCAATACATACACACACACACACACACACACACACACACACAGACTCACGTCTTAATGATGCACAAAGCCTAAAATAAAGCCCACTCCCAAATCATGCCCTTTTATAATCATCTCTCTGGGAGTTTCCTGTCCAGTGAGGATTGTCATAATCAACGTATTCGCTTCCTTATCAAGAAAACACTTTCCTTTTTTAGCCACTCTGACCTCTCTTCTTTTACTTCACACTTCAGTTTGAGCCTTCTGTGATACTAACAGATTTATTTTTGAATTGTCCCAAGTTTTCCTCATTATGTTGTTCTTTAATGGCAGTGAGATGCATTGCACTGCTCTGTGTGGCTGCTCCACTGCAGTTACATAGTCAAGCTCCTGAAGCCATAGTTTACCCGAACATACAGCCGTGTGCGGTCATGCGATTGATTGGTTCCTGCAGTGCCAACAAGATAATCAATATTTCAACTATTTCACTCCCTCTTTAGCTACTGATCTGCCACATAGTGATTCTGTTCTGCTCCACACACTATTAATCCTGTGTATCTTGTAAAGATAGTAGAGGCAGGATAGAACGTTGTCTTGTACTACTTGTACCAGAATAAAATGCAACAAGTAGGTGGACAATAAATGTGACACCATGGGGTTATTTTGAGCATCAGGCATGAGGTGGATGATTCCTCATGAACTAATTTACTGCATGCTGGAGGGTGCAGTCTTTCACACTACTTGACCAGCAGGGTTCAGTGAGTGTGGAAACATCAAACTGGTTTGACGTAATTCATAAACAGAGATTTAGCAGGTTTATTTTTAACCCTGTTACGATTCGAACTACTTCATTTTGGATATTTGTGGTCAATAGTTTATGTAGATGGATAATTATATTCTAGATACATTTTGAGATGATGCTGCCTGAAGATGACAGTCCTTTTATTAGGCATATAGTAGTGTATTTCTCTTATGACATCGTTACAATCAATGACTTCATGAAGCTTTTTTTGTTTTTGAATAAAATGACATGGATGACCTCTTGAATTCTCATTAACCTTTACATGATGGCATACACTAGGGGTGCATTCCCGAATTGCATACTTTTTCTTTTTACTTTTAGTTTGTACTGCAGCTGTCCTTAAAAAAGACGTACTGTTGGGTGCAGTATGCACACAGTTGGGACGTACTACTTTCTCCTGACATTACGCCCTGAACTTTGACCCTTTTGCTTAAATATCAGTTACCTTGGAGATAAAACATACGCCACTTACCGAGTTTGCCAGAGACAGAGATCTGTTGTTGGTACTTTGCAATGTATGTAGTTTAACTTTGAAGTTATAACTGCACAGATTGTAGATTATAACATATATTTGCAACAGTTAAATTAGATCTGCAGTTCTATGTCCTATTGTTTGTAATATTTATTATTATTTTGTTTAATTAATATTCCTTTTATTACTGTTCAACTGGTCATCAGTTACTTGCACTGTCAGCCATTATTGCAATTTCTGACAACTGTCAAACAGCTGTCAATAAGTTGTCAAGCTGACATATGTTTGCAGGTCAGTTAAGGTGACGTATTGTCTGCTGCGCAGAGTATTGTGGGTCAGAATAGCCAGAAAAGCATGCTGGCTTGCATATTGCAAAATTGGATTGGATGTAGTAGAACACGCTGGTATTTTTTGGCAAACTGCATTTGACATACTATGTACTGGGACATACTAAATCTTTCTCTGGCATACTATACAGTATGTGTAGTACTGTAGTGTGTGGGTATTGGAACGCACAGTAAATCTTGAATGCTGTTTAGCAGCCAACTCTCATATTTCAGATTTCGGAGTCTCATGAAAGCCCCTTAAAGGATAACTTCGGTATTTTTCAACTTGGGCCCTATTTCCCCATGTGTATGTGTGCCTATGATTCATAGGTACAACTCGTTTTAAAATTGGTTCAGTATTGAGGGAGGCGGATGCAGTCGGTAGCCGCAAGGTAGATATGGGGGCAAATGCGTCCCGTATAAGTTTGCGCATTAAAAGTGCTTTATTTCGCCACTGACCGGTTCAGATCACCAGTGCTATCTTTGTAGATAGCATACTATCTACTCTAAAACTTCACCTGAGCCTCCCTCGGCATATGGGTGAGTAGATAATGGCTGAAATTTCATTTTTGGGTGCACTATCCCTTTAATACTTAGCGTTTTACCACAACTTGTTCTGGCAAAGACATCTGTTTCCCATCACAATGTTTCACCATCACAATGTTTTCCGGGTCACCCTGCCTTAAGACTTCTCCCCAGAATGAGACCATTCAGGGTCGCTCAATTTTAGTAAACATAAACAGGGTCAAGTATTTCTCAGCCTTTTCGCCACCACCAAGTTCAATGTTACAGCAATGTCACTGACCAATGATCCGTCATTCTTTGAGGGGCGAGTAGCAGACGTCCCAGTTACCTCAGCAGCCTTGTGCTGCATTCATGTGGTGTCAGAATATTCTGAAAAATGAGTTCAATCATATTTCATGCCTCACTTGATCTGTTTTCCTGTGCTCTTCATTTTCAACTGGTTGTTTAAACATTCAGAGCAATAAAATACAGCGCATTTTCTTTTGTAGCATCCATGTTGTTTCCACATTACAACTTGAAACTCACGAACACGCCAAAGTCGGAAGATCAACCACATGAATGCACCACCGGTTGGTGAAGGTCTCGACTTGAGTCTGATTCAATCACTTCTCGTTCACTCACTGTCGCAGGCACTGAGCAGTACCATATGATAACAGCAAGTGGGCAAGTCAGGGACTCAGGAGCGCTCGGATGTTTAATATGCTGACCTGGTACATACCTGACACTGAAAAGAGTTGTTCAAAAAGATTGATTTGTTAGTTTTTCGCCCATCTTTATTGCAAATCAGTTCTCATTAGCATAAGTCAGTTTTTAGGTCTGAAGTTTGTTTAACACAATCAGAAGTCTGTAATTTGATTGTACTGTGTGTTTTGATAAATGTGGGCCGGTAATGTGAAGAATATATGATACATTCCTCATAGTGTATATACAGGACAATTAACTCCAAAGCTGCATAGGTAAAAAACTGGTTAAGCATATGACTTCAGGCATGTGTTATCATCAAGGTTTTGCATCATTCAGAAAATCTCAAGGACAAAGAGTGAGTAAACACACACAAAACAAGAATTATCCTGTCAGATACACAATAATTGAGAGATTGTTTGCTTGTTGCAGGTTTTATACCAAGATACAAGGATGAAGGACCTTGCCAATAACCAGGACGCTGAGATGTTCAGAAGAGGTGAAGTTGCCAAGGGAAACAGGAGAACATTTATAGTTGTTAACAAAACCGAGGTTACATTAAAGAGCACAAATCTGAGCATTATTCTGCGTTTGTTTGAGCTTACTGCAGTCGATTAGTCTAGCGTGTTCCTGTGCTCGGCCTAATTTGTTACCCTCATAACTCATTCCACTGTTACGTAACAGCACTGTGGGTCTTTTTTAACTTGTAAAGACTGCGTCCTCCATTATTTATACCCTTTCATAACACAGATCTATCTGGGATATAGGCCTGTATGCGTTTGAGTATCAAAATGGGGGCAAACTTCCTGCATTCAGGAGGAAGTGCAGCATGTGTGCGCCAAACTGTCATCAAAAGAGCCACTTTTAGAGGGATGAAGCCTATTTCCGAGTCAAAGCATCCATTCCTCTGTAGCTCAGCGGCATTAATGGAGCAGCGGGGCTGAGAGTATAGTGCCTCGGAGTTGTTACCTAGTCTGCTATCCATTAGCTGAAAATTGTTTTGACTTTAAAACTACTTTCTATAAATCAAGTGTGAAGGGTTTTCAGATTTTGTTAGAGTTAAGGTTTTGTCACTGTTAACCAGGGGAGCTGTATAAGTTTGGTTTAGGTTTTTACTCAAAGACTGGAGCAGGTTAGAGGAAAAAATAGATGCTGTTCCCACAAAACATGGCAGTATGTTTTCTAGATATTCTGTTATGGTTAAAGATGTAAAGTGTACTAAAAAATGACTTAACTGTCCATTAATTTAAAAAAAAATGTATGAATAAATACAGGAATGCATAAATAAATAAATAAATACAGGAATAAATAAATCAATAAATGTATAAATAAATACAGGAATAAATAAATCAATAAATGTATAAATAAATACAGGAAAAAATAAATGTATAAAAATAGAGGAATAAATAAATATGGAAATAAATTCATGCATAAATAACTAGATAAAAAATAAATGTATAAATAAATGTAAAAAAAAACAAGGAAGTAGTTAAATGCATAAATAATAAAAGTTGATAATTAATCAGTACATAAATAAAAATCTCTGCATATATTTCTTTATTTATGCATTTATTTATTAATTTCCACATTCATTTCAGAATTTATTTTAATTTAACGTCTACATTTCTGTTTATTTATTTATTTATTTATTTATTAATGTCTATATGTTAGATAGGAGGTCCTAATCTCTGCATTTATTTCTTTATTTATGCATTTATTTATTCATTTCTGTATTTATTTCAGGATTTATTTGTCCTTCTATTTATTTATTTCTATATTTATTTATTATTTTTATTATTTCAATATATTCTTTATTATTATTTCATGTTTATTTATGTGTCTCTGTATTTATTTATACATTTATGTCGTTTTTTTTTATCCTCCATAAACTCCAAAAGAAGCAAGTACTGTGCCCAAAGATGTCTCTAATGTCTGTTTCTATTTTTGGAAAAGGTCAGGACAGCGTTCGTAATGCTTCATCAACACCAATCTGACAGATGATCACCGAGTATGGAGAAGAGAGCTTTTAAGAGGAGAGGAGAGAGCATCTGTTGGCAAAAGCCTCCTGGCCCATTCATAGCAGATCACTTCTGAAGCCTGTTGATCTTCAAGGTATGAGTTAAGTGTTGCGTTTGAGCCAACTAACTGTATTAGTATGCTGAGAAAGTGAAGGCTAAATCGTTCCAACAAAACCATATTCTGCTATATTTCCTGTGTGGCCTTAGAAGATCTAGAAGAGCTCGTCTATTGCATGTGTCTGTGCAGTAACCCTAATGAGCAGGCTTAGAGCCAGTGTGATGCAGCCACCTCTAAACAGGATCTTCTCCTGGGACCTGTTACCGTAGTCACTTTCCATCACAAAGATTAAGGGTAAAAAACTTGATCCTGACCTTGGGGAAATGCACAAACTGCTGCTGCTGATCTCACTGCGGCTCTGGCCACAGGCATAGAGTCAGAAAATATGAGCTCTGAGGGAACTCCTGGTATTTGTCTCAATCAGTGGAGACGTGGTGGCCAACAGCGGACACTGTGTGGCTGTAGTGCGACAAACACGGCAATGAAAAAGAAAAAGAAAAGAGTAAAAACGACTTTAAATTCTCAGATTATTGGATTCCTTGTGAGAATAATGTAACAAAATTACTTTTGGCCAAATTTAATGACCAGTAGCGACAGTTTTATTTCCCCTTCTGTCTGTCATTATACTTTACAGTATATACATTACATTGCATCCCTTCTGTTACATTTCCTCATCTATGCTTTGAAATTATAAATAGCTCCCTCTGAAAAACACCACACACATATATAGGCGCACACATACACAGTGTTGCTGTTATGTTAAAGTGTGTATCACATTTTCCTGCACTTCTCCCGTCCCAAAGAGACCGTCTTATTCCCACAGTGGTGCAATGGAAGATCCACCAGTGCACCAATGAGACTTCCCTGCAACTGAGAACATCCCCTGCCATTCAGGACATGAAAACAAGCTTCGTTATCTTAAATACATCATTATCTCCCCTCTTAATTAATGATAATACATACAGAGCCTGCAAAAAGTGTTTTTGTGTAGAATATGTTTTTCTGATGTTTATTTTTACACCAAATTCAATGATAATTGATATAATTGGGATATATAACAGTGTTAAATGAAACAAATAAGAATAGAATTAATTAAGTGATTTAAAAAATGTAAGTATATAACATAAAATAATAGATTAAACCATAATAGAATGCTGATTAAACCAGTTGTGTTTTAGAGGTGGCATTGTAAGTTGAATGGAGACGACCCGTGAGTATTTAAGGAAGTGATGTAAGTGTAAATGGCTGTACTGCACCTCTTGCCGAGTGTGTGCTGGGAGAGAATTCAGCACCCTGCAAGCTTAAGCATGTTTAGCAAACACAGATCTGGACTATAATGTATGAGGGAGACTCTGAAAGCAGCAGACAGCTTTATAGTCATATAAAACCAAAGTTTAACTTTTTGGTCCTATTAAAATCTATTATTTGGTGTAAGCCAAATAAAGAAAAAAAATAATAAAAATATAAAATGTAAAAGCATGTACTGCAAAAGTCAATTAACATTAAAATGAAATAGAAAAAATGACAATAAAAATGTAAAATAAAAAATACTATAAAAGCTGCACAATAGATTTTTTTCATGGAAAGACATACAGTTTTATACAGGGATATGCAAAATATTGATGAGGGATTCTTCAAGACTTCACAGAATGATGTACAAGGCATATCTGCAGTGTACAAATATAATAGTACAAAAGATGTGCGTTAATGTAAGAGACAGACTTTCTATGAATCTATGGTACTATTGACTCTTTAAAACCTGGAGAGACATCAGTTTTCTTTTGCTGCACTCAGACACCTTTCACAAGCATTTAAATTGTTTTGGATTCTTTCGAAAACATGCTAAAAGGTAATGAGCAACTTGCAAGAATATGTTAAAATGTGACAAGAAAAATAACATAAAAAAAGAAAAGAAAGAGATGGGGGAAATTATTAGAAAATTATTTAAAAAATAATATTTTTTAGAATTTATTACAGAATAGAAATCTCTCCCTCTTTTTCTCATTATATATGTGTGTGTGTGTGTGTATTTAGCACTTTTTCAGGTCATTTCCTTGTTTATTTGGGTTTTTTTTACTACTTACTAATTTTTAATAATTCCTTGCTAATTTTTGGGTCACTTCTTGTTAAGTTGCTCAGTGCCTTTGTCGTGTCATCTTGAAAGGATTCAGCCAATTTGCTCAGCTTTTAAAGGGTTAAAAGTGGTTAAATACTTCCTCAAGAGATTCATATTCACTTTAAAGTTGAAAGATTAGTTTCTGTTGATCACTGTCAAAAATGTCCTAATCACAGCACATCCATGTGATTCACAGTGGCAAAATAGGTACACATGAAAAGTCAGTGGTATAACCCTACTTTAGGGTCAGCTACATATATTAAGAGGAATTTATTTATTTACATATATATTTATTTATTTTTGAAATGCAATCGAAAAGGGAATCTTAAAGAGTGTGAGAGATTGAGAGGCCCCTAACTCCCAGTTTCTGTGTTATCACCCTGGTATCTATCTGCCATCTGTCCCATCAGCATGTCTCTTCTTATACAGCAAAGTAACTGGAAACGATTTATTGTTATTGTTTATTTATTTACTGTAACTCATTCAAGAGGGCACTTAATATGACCACACCAGGGGGGAGCAGTAATTGAACAATACAGACATGAACAACCTCCCCTTGTCGTGGCAGCTTTACAACAACTGCCACAGTTATTATTCTGTAACATAGCCATAAAAGTGTATGCGTGCAATTATGTACCAGCACACTGTGCATTGATAGCTGGCTGCACAGATAATAACCTATTACATATTAATACAAAGTTAATTTCGCCGGCCCTACAGAGTACACTGAATCTTGTTACACTTAATATTAAATCAATGTTTATTATGGTGCATGAGAAAGGGTGACATAATGATCCATTACAGTTTCATGAGTGCTTTGGTTGTTCACACTGGCGTGGGATTTGAATAATTAACGGCTGTGATCTCAGCTGCACTGGAACCCGTCATAGCCAGCTGCGGTCAGGAGGGGGCAGTGTTGGAATATGGATGTTCATTCATGAAGTCCTGTCACCTCAATGGGATTCATTCAGTAAATCTTTGATGGTGTGCTCCATTGTGTTGCTCCGTCCCAAACATGTATTACATGACAGTATAATGTAACATGACACCACAGCAGAGTGTACAGTGTGATGTGGGGTATGCATTAAATTTAGTGTCATGTTTTATAGCTTTAAATACGCATTGTTATGATCAGGCATTGACCTGCTGTGGTGTAGTTTATGCCAGCAGATTTTCTGTATAAATTATGCGTGTGAGTGTTTAAGTTTCCAAGTAACTGTTACCAAGGTTGTAACTGTCTCCATGCAGCAAGAAAGAAATACAGTAGCCTTCATGCTGTTAACCTCATTAATTCAGTCCTGCTTTTTAATTAAATGTATGATTCTGCATTGATTTAATTATTACACGATCAGCATGTTGAACAGATCCGTTGAACTCAGACTCCAGCAGAGTCTGATCAGTGTTCAAAAATTACTGCCACCTTTTTATTTCCCTCGCAGGCACAAGCGGTTTAAAACAGCACGAGCACATTTTGAGGATTCAGCTTGCCTTCCAGTTCATTTTCAGCTTTGAGCTGCTGTGTGAAACGGCGTCTTCACACAGCAGCTCATTTTACAGTCACTCTCCCCCTGTGCCCTCCTCGCTAATTAGCCTATCTCTATGCCCGTGTGCGTGTCTCTGTGTGGAACTTGCTAAACAAGCACATCGTTTGAAACCATTCATTCATCTCTGCTCTCTTCAGCTGCTGTCATGGCAACCTCGTATGACTGGCAGAAAACAGACCGCAGTCTCTGAGCTCCAGTCAACCCGGACGCTTCAGAGCACGAACACACTCTTATGGGCAGATGAAGAGTTGTGATATCAAGACACCGGGGCAGACACAGACTGTGAGGTGAGTCACAGAGGCCGGGGAACTGGGTTATCTAGCACGGTGTTCACTTTTCTGCGATTTACTGTGAACCACGTCACTAATGCAGAAATGATTCGACATTAAAATGTTTTCTGGTGGAGGTGGGGGGCTTGCAGTGTTGCAGCTTTTGTGTAATGTTTTGTTTTCACAGGACCAGGATGGCGCATCTGGCGTATCAACCCCTGCTTCCCACTGGAAACAAGTATCTGCAGCAGAAATGGGACAAGGCTTCATATGAGTTACACAGGGAAAAGGTGAGGAGAATATTTACTTTGGTTTTAGAGGTGACATTAATAACTGTCCTTATCCCATATTTTGAATATTTTGACCTACACACAGAGCTTCTATTTTAATCAAAAACCAACCAGATTAACCTGTTATTAGGGATGGGAATGGTAAGATTTTTTCGATACAAATGCCATTATCGATTCTGTTTTCACGATTCTTTATCACTTCTGTTACTGATTCTTGATCAGTTTCTGTGGGGGGAAAAGTAGGACTACACAGGTTTTATCATGTCCGAGTAGAAATAAAAGCATTCATGTGACTCAGATGTACAAAAGCTCCACTATTTTACTTTTTTCGTAGCCAAAGGAAACATCTGTTAGGCCTGCTTGCATGTCACTAATGTTATTATCACAGACATGGTCGGTTGGGAGGCAGTGGCACTCGTGTGTGGAGTACCAAACACATGGCATTCCTGGAATTTAAGTTCATGTTGTGTAAGCCAGTGGCTCCCAACTGGTCCAGCCACAGGGTCCAGATTTCTCCTTCGTCATTAGTTCAAGGTCCACACAGTTTAACACATTCAGTATCATACTTGCATTTGGCCATGTCGTCGAGCTAGTTTGCTGTCTCTGTCAAGTAGCTGTCTGTTAGTCACTCACTCTACAGCAGGAAACAGCACTTCAAAATTGAAGCTATGTGCCGGAAATTCACTGTGCTGCAAAATAAGGTGTGTTTTTTACAAACTTGACAAGTTTGAGAGTCGCTTGCAGTCCATTCAGAATGGACCCACGACCAACTTTTGGACCGTGACCCACCAGTTGGGAACCACTGGTGTAGGAAGATGTTTCAGCATATTGCTGGTGTTTCCACACTAATATGAAATGAAATGAAAAATATTTTTTGTTCTTAGTTCAAGGTTATGTTTACTTATGTCTCTTAAAGCTTTCATTATCTTTTTTTTATTGCAAGACAATGCAAAACACTGACAAAACAACAAAGACAGTGAATACAGGTCAGAGAGATGTTTCAAAGACAGCTGGAGCACATATCAGGTACTTCTACAGATCCCTCTGAGATGGCAACAGGGGCAGGGTGAGACTGGGTCAGCTCACCCCTCCTCTCAATCAGTACCACACATAAAACAACTGACTGGTAATCCCTTAAAAACCAGCACCCTCCTCATGGTCTGGGAGCAATTTTTTTTCAAGGGATCAAATCTGCACAGGGCCAGTTCCCTCCTTTAAGGCTCTGGGGGCGACCCAAAGTCAGACATTTTGTTGAGATAAAGAAACACAACCCACCTGCAATCATAATAATAACAGTAATATTAGAAAATAAATAATAATAATAATTATTATTATTATTATTATTGGTATTTTTTCTTTTTAGATTTTTTAAAATTTGGTTTAATATTATTATTATTATTATTATTATTATTATTATTATTACAATTACTTTTATTTATTATTATTGGTATTTTTTTCTTTTTATTATTTTTTTTATTTGTTTTAATGTTATTATTATTATTATTATCATTACAATTTTTATTTTTATTATTCTTAAATTTATTTATTATTATTGGTATTTTTCACACACACACATACACACACGCACACACACACACGCACACACACAGCAGCCAACATAACCTCGCCCCCTTATCCCCTGACAACAGTTAATTTACTGCCCTGTGCTCACATTTGTAATCACCTTGGAACTGGTTCTTAATTCCCATCCCAACTGTTTTTCCAATCAGTTAGTGTGTGTTTTCTCATTATTCAGTGCCTTACACAAACCTGTATGTCTCTTTATTTCTTCCCAGGTGAAGTCAGCTAAAGCAACAATAAACACAGCTCCACCAAAGACCTACGCTCACCTGACTCTCAAGCTGAAGACCCAAAAGGTTTCTGTTTTATCTCTCACGTTTTCAGCTCAGCTCACATCATGTCCACAGGGTGGCAGCAGATGATCTCACTGCTGAAATCATACAGTGAAGTCTCACCATGAGGAATGTATAGCCTCAGTAAATGTAAATGTATATACATTTTTAGCCTCAATTCAAAAAAGGAAATTACATTGCCAGCTCTGAACATTGTGTTTCTACCTTTAATCACATTAAGCTTGAAGAGGAATGGGCGATGAAGATTCAAAGGGAAAACAATATGCTTATGGAGAAGATATCACACATCATGGGGACGACAGGAGGAGTTGACAACAAGAACTTTTACGACAGAAAAAGGTTAGTTAAGGTTGTATTAGAACTGTCAGTGTAAAATTACATATTCATGTCAGGCAACAGGTTGTATTGCCAAGAAGTGAGGCAGCCCTTGAAACTAAAAACCCAGCTGTAAAGCCTGGTTTTATTCTTCATTGTAGCCTTGGCAAAGAGAAGCGACAGCTGGAGCTGCTGCGTATCACCAAGGAGAATCAAATGATCCTGTTGCGTCTGAGCCAGTGCAGGTCTCACTATGACGTGAGGAGGTGGCACGAGGACTGGGTCAGAACTCTGAAGGTGATGGACAGCATTGCACGTTACCCACGAGGAACTGCCAATCTGCAAAAGGTTCAAATGTCTTCTTTTTTTAAAAGATCAGTGACATTCATTTACTAAGCACAATCTGTCACGTCTGCACTCACAATCACTTGACCTGTACCAAGTGATCTTAATTGTATATCATTATGGATATCATTTTGTGTGCTGATACCAGGGACAGGAAAAACCCACCAAGAAGTGCAGTGATTGTAATAAAGAGCAGAAGATCCACCCTGCAAGCAACAAGGGCAGTGGCAAAGCAGAGTCTGAGGAAGATGAGAAGAGGAAGGAAAACAGCAAGAAAGAAAGCACAGGAACAAAGATACAGCAAGACACAGCGACATACTCTGAGCCAACAACATCTGACACCACTCAGATGACAGCAGATAAACCTCCTCACACTGCTGAAACATCGTCCTTTCCTGAAGGATCTGAGTTGTCCAACCCTACTCACACACCTTAAACACTTGAGCAGGAGACTGCAAGTACTGTAGAGGGATGAAATGTCTTGTCTTTTGGCAAACTTGTATTTTTTTTTTTGCTCACTAAATACAGTAGTAGTTTTGAAAAAGAAAGTGTTAGCTCCAACATAGGTGGACGCAGATATTGTATGGGACTTGTATGATATTTGGTACTGGATTAGTCCTAAATAAAGCAGTAATATTACTCTGTATTGGCTGTGTACTGAGAAAGATTCAAATAAAAACTGTATTTCTGTGGTCGATGTAATATTCGCAAACACAATGATAACACTTTGTAATTTGTTTCTTTGATAACAACAAATAAATGAATCAAATTAAAGTGTTGGGAAGGTTATTTTTAAAATGTAATAGGTTACAGATTACTAGTTACTCTGTTAAAAATGTAATAAGTATTGTAACTGTTTTAGTTATTGAATCAAAGTAATGAATGTATAATTCTACATATAAGCCTTTACCGAAAATAATATATTCAGCTGTAACCAATTTGTAATCACAAACATTTTGACTTGTAACTGTAATTACATAGTTTTTCTCAGTAACTGATTACAGATACATTTATTTTGCATTTTAATTACATGTCAAGTAGCAGAGGACTTTTTTTGACAAAATTAAAGACATTTACACCATAAATCAATGCAGAAAAAAATTCACTAAAATGCAGAAATGACCCTCAAACAGCCCCTTTCATGTGTGTGTGTGTGTGTGTTTAAACGAAACCTATGCCCATGTCAGTGGTTGATGTTATAGGGGGGCACACCCAAAATTAATAATTACAGTATGTTATTTCCATGTCCTAGGAAAGTTTAATCAGCGTTTGTGAACATGAGCGACTCTCTTGCAAAGCCTCAAACTAGAGAAGTAAGTCTCAAACCTGTGATATCATAGGGTATAAAGTCCGGAGCTGCTCCATAGACAGTGAATGGGAGACTGATTTTGTGGACTCACAGAATATTGTTTCCTTTTTATACCCAAATGAGCTTTATTCTATTGTATTGTTCTCCGTTCTTAAACAGTAAATGTACCCACACCTTTAGAACATTCCCCTGGGTGCTCTCAGTGTCACCTAGATTAGTGGTCCCCCAACTGGTCCAGCTACGGGATCCAGATTTCTCCTCAGTTGTTACTTCAACATCCACATTTTAAAATATCTAGTGTCATACTTGTATTTGGCCATGTCGTTAAGGTAGTTGGTCTGTTATTCACTCCTTCACAGCAGGAAAGAGCACATCAAAATGAAAGCTTTGTGCCTGAAATACACTCTACTTCAAAATATAGTTTTTTCTTTTTTTTTACAAACTCACGACGTTCCCAAATTACTTGTCGTCCACTCAGAATGGACACGTGACCCACTTTTGGACTGCCACCCACCAGTTGGGAACCACTAATGTAGAACATCTCTCCCAGTTTATTGTCTATGGAGCAGCTCCAGACTTGATACCCTATGACATCACTAATTTGAGTTTTAGCACTGTAGTTTTTGGATTTGGGAGAGAGTTGTTCAGGTTTACTAATATTTTTGAGCAGTCTTGGACCAAAGGAATTATATGTATATGACTTTTGAAAATAGGCGTAGTTCCCCTTTAATATTTATAAACACAGTGATAACCCTTTGTAGATTGTTTCTTTAATTACAAATAAATAAATCAAGTAAATGTGTATATCGCTTTATATTTATGAAGTTATATTACAGCTAGATATATCACGGAAGTAAAAAAGAAAGACCCGGCTTAACGCGGAACTGTCTGTCGTGTAGTTTCCTGACGGCACCATTTGTCAGAACACTCGTTGCAGAAAGAAGCCGCGGATTTGATTTTACGCAGCTAGCAAGCTAGCACCTACTGTTTTGTGCATAGTTTGATACACAGCTTTTCTCCGTCTCTAAGAATGACACGCTTTTGATAGTCAAACTGATATTTTAATAAAGACAAATCAAAATGAATCTCGACAGACTGAGAAAGCGAGTACGGCAGTACATCGACCAGGTAAGAATTATTACTATCTTACTTTCTGTGCTTCAAGCTAATGCTATCTTGAGAGCCAAGCTAGCATCAATGGTAAACAGTCATAGCTTGGCTTCCCGGCTAACTTAAAGCTACCACACAGCTACCAACAATATAAATTTATATCAGAGTGACTCTTTGTTTGTCTTTGTGTGTTTGTTTACAGCAACAGTATCAAAGTGCTCTGTTTTGGGCCGACAAGATAGCGTCACTTTCCCACGGTGAGTACCGTTAGAGCTGTTTATGTTAGCCGACACGTTAGCCTACTAAACTGTCAGCTAAAGTTACAAAGCTAATGTCTGGAGAACTGGCGTTTTGCAGGGAGATAAACTGTGTTTTGCTTATATTGTTACGCATAATCATAGCTGAAAATAAACTTTTTACTACTGGTGATGACAGTAGCTCGCCAACAGTTGCCACAGTGTTGTGCAGCCTGTCAGTGATGACTCCCTAACGTCAGATATGTACCGCTTTGTGTTGCATGCAGAGGATCCACAGGATATCTACTGGCTAGCTCAGTGCCTTTACTTGACCTCACAGTACCACAGAGCCTCCCATGCCCTCCGTTCACGAAAACTTGACAAGGTAATTGCAGGTTATGTGTGTGTGTTGTATACATGCACAAAGCTATTGGCTGGGAATTGAATCAAAATGGTTTATGTATCTAATCAATGTGAAGGATGTATGTGTGAGTGCGTCTGAAACAACCCTTGTCTTCTCTCTCACAGTTGTACGGGGCTTGTCAGTATCTTGCTGCTAGGTGCCATGTAAGTAACTTTAAAACATATACTGTGTCATATAATACAATATAATCTAGATCAGGGGTGTCAACTCATTTTGGTTCACGTGCCACATACAACCCAATTTTGAGCCCAATTTAACTATTGTCAGCTCCAACATTTTCCCTTTTTTTGTAAAGAATTACAAGTACATTCTGTAGACGTTCATCCTTTTACAAAACAAATGAACAGCCTGAGGTGTCTAAAGAAAAATAAGTGCAATTGCAACAGTATGTCTCAGTTTTTCCACAGTCAGTCTACTACTCACTGTCATTACATGTGCATTTATCCATACGTTTCCTGATGCAGATTCTTTTGAATTTAAGCTGCTGTTTTTGCGTAATGCTCAATATCTCTAAACATGGTCACACTAAGTATTCATTGTTATATCAGAGACCTGTATTCTGGTCAGGGTGGAAAAGCCTCTGAAGCAGAATTTTACCAGAAGTAGGCAACGAAGTGTTTAACTTGCTCCTGAAACCTGGCCCACGGGCCGTATGTTTGACACCCCTGATCTAGAGAAACCTGCCAGATAATTTGTTTCTGACTGTTTCGTCCAGTATGCTGCCAAAGAGTTCCAGCAGGCCTTGGATATCCTGGACTCGGAGGAGCCAGCAAGCAAGAAGCTGCTGGACAGGAGCGTGAAAGAGGACAACGGGACACCAGAGTCAACCAAGGACTGGGACATGTCCCCTGCCTCTGTAAGTCTAAACTGCTTGTACTGCGTACACTCCACGATTTGGGCGCTCCAGTTTGATGAAAGATTTTGGACAGTCTTGTTTGTCAGTGTTGTGTGATGTAATCTTATTACTCAGCATTTATCTGTTCCTCACGACTCATCTTGTTTTTGCTGTTGCTGCAAATATGAGGATGTACTGTTTTTCAGCCATGTGTAGTTACACTTCCCACAAGTACTCTCATCACCAACTACAGTTTTTTTTATTCTTGTTGATAGAAATCTTACACACTTGCAATTGTTTAACCCTTCTGTTGTATTGTAGAGAATATACAAGGTTCCAAGAATTCTAAAATGCAGTGTTACACATGCAGTCCCTATACATACTTTATTTTCACAAGTTTAAAACCAATATTAGTATGATTGTAATTTATTAAAGGAAAGGTCTACAGAATAGATAAAGTTGTACAGCAATAGTGATAGGCATGCAGTGTTTAAGTCATTGCAAAAACATATATGCAAACTAGGAATTTGAAAACAATCCTTTTTTTTTAACAGGAAAACTTTTTCACAAACAGCATCATATTAGTGAACTATTAGATATTCCTTTCACCCACAATAGTGCCGTATGTGTTCACTGTTTCTAGTTTGACATCAGATTTCTTTTTCTATGTTAAAACACTACACACTAGATGCAGTAATCTTCGCTGACTTTTATGTCATGGAGTTCACCTGCTCACAGTTGTCCCTGCAGTTCTGGCTAGATTATTATAATTAATTTTATGTAGTGGTTAAAAAAGATTCAAGTCTTGCTCTGGACATGGCCATGTATAACCACTGTAATTAGGGAAGCACAATAGTTTTGGTGTGTCATCGGTATTGGCTGATATTGGCTTTAAAAGGAACTATCAGAATTGGCCAACATGCTTTTTCCTATTTTGCACAATGAATGAATATTACATACACTGAAAAGCATTGTATTACATGTCTCCATCTGCTGGTAGGCCGTCGCGATAAGAGTATGCATGCATCATATGATGTTAATTCCACTACAGAAGAGACTTGATGATCACTTAAATTAGGTCGGAAAAAAGTGGATATATCGATACTGTATTGGTTATCGGTCAAATGAGTTGTTACATATTGGCATATCGGATATCAGCAAAAAATCCATTATTGTGCAACTGTAATTGTAGTAACAGTTGAGGTCAGCAGATGTGATTTTGAGCAAGCAAGTTATGTGAAATATAACGTCGGCATAAACTATCATCCAACGCTACCATCAGGGAGTGTTGTCAGAAATCATCGATTTGTCAATACATAGCGATTCTGAATATTTGAAACGGTTTCAATCCATATTTTCTGCAGTAACGATAAACCTGCACCAGCTGCTCTTTTAGCTCTCGCTTACTGTTCATGATTATTGCTGTCGTTCTGCTGCTTTCTGCAAGTTTTTTGTTATGTTATAGCCTTGTGACATTGATCTATTAATAGAAAATGTAATATTTTAGGTCCTCGATATCAGTTTTCCCCATGGTATCAAAAGTCGTATAAAATATTTAAACATTTTTTTTATAAAAGTTAGAAATTGCAGTATC